GTTTATTCCATGTGTAAGAGCAAATGATACAAGTACAAATCAATGTTTGTTATTCAGAGGTTCCGCCGGAAGGTTAGTGCAATTTTCCAAACTCACATTGGTCTCGCATACAGCATCTCTGTAAAGTATGTGTATTCAGCAGTATTCACTTTCTCCACTAAACGGCTCGCTGCAGCTCCCCTCCCCCCGCCCCTCCGTGATTTCCTTGTTTAGCGATACACAGCCAAACACAGCCAAACTCAACCTGAACACACACAAAATCACAGCCGAAATAAAAACAATAAGTGTGGCTTGATATTGAGTAAGAAAAAGGTTTATCGGTTGATAAACGCTGTGAGAATGGGTCTGCAGAGAGAATTTCGCCGCGATCCCAACTGTCTGTTATCAGCCTGCAGCCAGGGAGCAGAAATCAGCAGAGCTGCCTGCACTGAGTGTGTGTGTGGATTGGTCAATTTGGACCAATCAGCGGGGGCTTCACGTAACGCCTCCACGGACGTAACGTAACGGCTCCACGGACTGGTCCATTTAGTTCCGGGTACGTGCTTTCGTAAGCACGTACCCGGAAGAATCAAATGGATGATGACGTTTCACCAACGAGGCGTTTTGGGGAGATATTTTCTCTGTTAGAGTTTTACTCGCTACAGGGTGTACTTTAAGGGTTTTGACTCTGCACACCGTTTACATGCAGAAAAACCTTCATAACACACAAGGGGACGGGTAATAACCGGAAAAGCATGACATGTCGCCTTTAAGGGGCAGAAAGAGTGAGTGAGTGAGTGGTCAGAGGAAAAGCTTTCTGTTGTCTCTTCGTCAGTCTTCAGTAGTTCTGTTATGCAGATTATTGAATAGGCTTTTTTCCATTACTAATGTAAAATGTAGCTACATGTCTATAAGTAACAGGAAAGTAGAAGTTGACAGTGCACACTTTTAGCCTCCCTCTTCCGCCCTCTCTCGCTCTAATGCTCTACCAAACATGCAGCCAGCTCATGTTTAAGCTAACAGAGTAAAGGACTGCCAGGTGATCCTAGCAGATTGGAAGAGGCACTGGGTGTCTGTGATGGCCCAGTACGTCTCCTGATGAGTTGGCCCACTGCATACTGTAGCTCGTATTTCCTTCAGTCTCACCGCAAAGGCTCTGGCTTCTCACAGTGGGCAGCAAGGGGCTTTCACTGGGGAAAGTACACTGCCTTCAAATCTTCTTCCTGCCAGCCTAAGCTTTTACTGGGCATTTGGTATTGTGTGTGAGACCTTCAATCCATGCAAGTATGGAATGTCTTTGTTTCATCAATTTCTAAAGCAGAAGCAATTTTTAAATCGTAAATGCTTCACAGCAATTACACATTTTGACCTTGCGGTCCCCCATATTGCATTTTTTTATTATGCAATATGTATCACCAATACTTTCTGTATTTTCACATTACAGTTGACAATAATCATTCTACCAATCCCTTAAAATGACATTCGGAGCACCTCAGCTCAGTTGTAGTGTTTTAACCTACTGATCATATTCTTTGTGGATAAACTTAAAAGATTGGAAACTACATAACCAACTGAATTAAATGTGTCATTTGGTTATTCTAACTTTAGAATTTTTTTTCACAATTGTTAATATATAACTAGAAGGGAGTGTTATCTGTTGAACAGTAAGCTTAGGTCCACTCGATCTCTGTCACTAGATTTTGGCTTGGGTTGTGGAGGTCGATCCAAACAGAAGGCACTTAGGCCACGTCTACCCGGAGACAAAACGGGTTATATCCGCTACAATTCTCTATCGTATGGATGGTTCGTCCATACTGCTGCTCACCCTCGCGTCACCCGCATCATTGCTGATGTGTTTCACCAACAACAATCGCGGATCACAGGGTTGCTTTCGTGCTCCAGACGCAACTGACCATGCTACAGATGTTAGTGCAAAATCTACAGCTCCTCTACCACAACCATCAGCAACAAGTGGACATGGAGAACTACATGTTGCTAAATCCACCACGGAGAATAAACAGAAGGGCAACCAGGCAACCATGGCAACCATGCTCGGGGGTCTTCTTCGCTGCTTTTGGTGTATTTTGTGACAGAAGTATAGCGTCACTTACAGGCCCGGCATATGTACTACAGCGTCTCCAGCGGTTCGAGCGATCTCGTGTGGATGGACATGTTTCTTGAGCCGATTCCGTGTGGACGGAAGACTTTTTTGATATCGACTAAGGTTCGTTTTCGTTTTTGTCTCCGTGTAAACGTGGCCTAAGACATTGGGATAAGGTTTCTTTAGTAATAGCATCACTAACTCAGATAACTTGAAGAACTTCATGCTTAATGTGATCTTACCAATTATGGAAATCATACAACAGTGTTGTACTTGTATAATTAGACATTTTTGAAGAGTGAGCATTTACGGCAATGTGATGCATGTAGTCAAAAGGCTTTTGCATCCATGTTCTAATTATTACTTAAAAA